ACAGATAGTGTGAATGATCTGACACTATTCTACTAACTAGACGTCTCTAGTTCGATTTTGTGATTTTCCTAAGTTACAAGTTATTTTATGTTATATATTATTGCGTTTACAGTAACTGTAATTTTCAGGCTGCTAGCAGCTGATGGAGGGCCGTTGAATATAAAAATGGGCTCCTTTTATCTTGCAAATACATTCTTTCGGGGTACTACTACCTCTGACACCAGGGTCCAAAAAGTCAAAAATTGGTGTATCGCTCCCAAATGACTCAGGGATGCCGGATAATGGTATTACGGCTTGTGATCATGGGTTTTAAGCTTGTTTGGCGATAATACCGCCTAGATAGGCGGTAATACGCATAAATCCAGAAGTATCCATAGCAGAAGTCATATGGAGGTTACGGGCTTGAGTGATACCATTCCCACAGCACACTAATATGATTATAGATGGTTTTCTGGTCTTGGCAGATGTACATAGGCTATTTACATGCTGAGTTGATTGACAGGGATAATGATTTTATTGAACTGGGTGGGTGTTGGAAATGTTAATAGGGGCCTATGTCACTGTAGCGTTGCTATGCATGCTACTCTTGCCTATAACAATGCGTTCAGCTAGTCCTGTATGCGAGATGGGCTCCATTGGACTTGTCTATACAGTGCATTACTGATTGATGTGATCACTGATTGGAGTAACTATGCTTCCCTATACATTAGTATATGTAATAATGGTGAGAATAGTCCATCGAGGGAGAAGGTTATTCAGTGGCTGCGACACAAGATCATAATTCATGCTCATCTCGTCTTGCAAGCGGCTGGGATAGATGTGTTCGGTTCTCCTGAAAACTAATGTATAAATGCCCAATCAATGGGTGTACACAGTGTAAATAAACTGTCTGGTCCTAGCAGTGATCAGAGATTAAGCCATTCACGTCTAAGTGCATACCTTAAAAAGGTGAAACCACGAATAGCTCATTAAATCACCTATGGTTCCCTAGATCATATATACTACTACATGGATAACTGTAGCAATTCTAGAACTAATACATGCAATTATGCCCTAACCTACAAGGGAAAGGGTGCATTTAAGTGTTTTGAAATTTCTCATGATAAACAAAAAAGTAGTTCAGCTACGGGGCTCCCTTTAGGGCATTCATTTTCTTTAGATATACTATCACATTTATATACAATTTCTCATGAAAGACGGTTGTTACAAAAATGATAAGTTGTCACACGTACATAGTTGTTGCTATTCAGATCCAGCACACTTGTAGTTCTGACGCCCTAGAAGCAAAACCGAATCTTCTGAAAGAGACCCTCATCAAAAATAGATACCCACCAAGACTTATGGGAAAGAATATCAAACCAAAAGTTCACTGGAACGAAACACTACTTGTTTCAAAATAGAAACTTTACGTGGACCTGCGTTTCAAAGGAGATTTCACCTGCGATATCCGTAAGAGGATTTCGTCATCTTTGAGAACATACTTCGCAGCAAGGCTAAAAGTAGTGCTTGCCAGATGTCCATTGGTCTGCAGAAGCCTTAAGAACAAGATCTCGTGTCTCACCACTTCTATGTGCATATATCAGTTCATCTGTTATTGTGAAGCCACGTATATTGGTCGTTAGACGCGTATCCTGTCTACAAGAGTTTAAGAACACTATCCCACTTGGTCACAGAGAGATAGTAGTGACTCTATAAGGAGTGCAGTAATCAAACACATCATTTCATCTCAACAAATGACTCCTTCAAAGTAATCTACAAAGTGAAGAACAACCTGCCAAAGGCAATACGCTTTCGTCTCCTCTGTATTACTGAAACCTTAGGCATTCAATTAGGAAAACTGGAGTAATGTATAGAAAAGAAAATTATCCACCCACTATCATGGCAACAACCTCATTGACCTGACTTTTGTTTTCTTTTTTAACTCCCTTATATCTCTTCTAATTTTTAGAGCTCTTACATAATCCCATATTTTCCTTCACATTTCTATGTGCATCCTGACTACAACTCATTCATTAAATTATTCACCTTATTACATAACTCTAATACACTTATTCAACTTCCTTTATGCATTGACTAGCGCTAACAACTCATCACTTTTGTTACTATCTTTCATTAAAAAGAATTGTATGTATAAATGCGATTGTACAGCAAAAGAAGGTAACGAATTCTCTGAAAAGAGCATCGTAGCTGAACTACGCGTTTTCTTTTGATTAATGTCTATCTAGATAAGGATTATTCATGAAGTAAAACACGTGACAAGGATTTCTACAGAGGGAATCCTTCCTACAGAATGACCTCATGTCCTCTTTAAACACTGGTGCATATATTAAATTCAATTTAGATTTTCCCGTCAACTGATTGAACCGAAGTGTTCGATCTCAGGTTGACATGTCAGTCCCTTATGCAGATAACACTTTGGCGTTTGAAACTGTAGGCACTGTGGAGTGCAGGCACATCCAGGTGACGAGTCCCAAATAGGACAGCCGAAATGCGTATCCTGGACTCCACTGTCAGTTACCATTCACCCATTGGTGCGTGAGATGTCAGCTTCAATTCAGCCTCATTAATATATGTGTAAAACTTGGGCACTGTGGTAGTAAGTAATTCCATATTAGTTTGTTTATTAGATATATCACACAGTGAAACAGTATTATTTACTGGATGACGTTTCGAACAAAATTTATTGTTCATAATCATATCAATTGTAATCACACGACTTTGACACTTGAGTTTTATAGTTTTCTTTGTTCTCTCATATTCGCCATCTTAGGGGGAGTAGAATTTTCCAGATATCCGGCTGGACATGTGTTGAATTGTTCCTATTACACGAGTTTGCAGTTGATTCGATAAACAAAGCTTCTGTTATCAATCTCTCCCTATACCCTGTGACATTAGATTTTAAAACTGTCATCTTATCCCATCCTATTGTATGGTTGTGTGTAACTGCATGTAGTGAGTGCTATAGCTGAACTATTCTCTAGATTTCTTATCTTATTCGGGTCAACCAATCTACATTTTGCTAGGTTTTTATGTTCAGCTAGTCCGACTGCCCCTGTTCTACTAGTGTGACCTGACAATAATTGCAGGCAGGGTATTAGATAATCTAAATTGTTTTGTTTTAAAGGCTCTACAGGATCCTTCAACCGACAAAGCTTGTTTCTAATTGAGTTTGTGGGTTTGAATGCCAGCCACTTTTATTCCTGCCTTGTCAAGAATTCTCCGTAAGGCTTCCGAGGTTCCTTGTATGGAATTACTATTGATGATTTAGATTCCTTATTATTGGTCTCGTCATTAATATTATTATCACTATTATTATTATTATTATTATCACTATCGCTACTATCATCATTTATTTTTACATTTCCTTACATATTTCCTGACTAATTTATCCGGGTAATTATTAAGTTTCAAGGCCTCTTTTATGTGTATCACTCCCTGTCTTAGATTTTCCTTGGTACTACTTAGTTTTTGTGCTCTGTCACTTAAAAATTTCACCAATCCTACTTTTACTAACATAGGATGGGATGGTTGGAAGTCTAAATATCTGTTTCAGTGTGTGGGTTTCCTGTAAACACTAGTGTTTAACTTCCCATTTTCTTTCCTCTTTACTTTGCAATCTAACATTGGGAGCTCCCCTTCCTGATTTTCCAATTCATAAGGGAATTGAATTGCTTCAACCTTCGAGTTGATGTGTTCGAAAAACCTATCTATATCTTGTGTTTTAAGTACAGTGAATATGTCATCTACATACCTACACCATACTTTTGGGGTGGGGGTGAACGTTTCAATCGCTATGCTTTCCCACTTATCCATGAATATATCTGCTACCACTGGGGATATTGGTGATCCCATGGCAACTCCCTCAGTTTGTTTGTATATTTTCCCTTGGAATTTAAATACTGTGAAAGTCAGGCATAGCTGTACTCCCAGCATTATGCCCTCAAGTGGCACTTTTGTCCTAAGTTCGAGTTCTTGGTCAGAAATGAGTTCGTTTCTGACTGCCTCCATAGCCATATTTATTGGTATACGTGTATATAAACTGACTATGTCAAAACTAACCATTTTTTCTTCATTATCTAATTTTAAAGTATCTAATCTATGTTTTAGTTCATAAGAATTTGTTAGTCTAGATTTTGAGTGTCTTTTAAGGGGAGTTAAAACCATGGCTAAATATTTAGATAATTCATGAGTAGGTGAATTTCTAAAATCAACTATAGGCCTAATAGGGTATCCTGACTTATGAACTTTAACAACACCATAAATCCTACTGGGGTTATTAGTTTTAGGCTATAAATCAAACCACTTAGACTCACCTAGAAACGGCTTCATTCGGCGTAAAAGGTCCGCTGTGGATTTCTTAACTTTATTCATAACTGTATCTATTGGTTTATTAATTTCCACATATGGTCCTGTTTGTATGTGAGTATTTACCTTGTCCAAATAGTCTGATTTCTCTAATACTACTGTTGCATTTCCTTTGTCTGACTTTGTGATAACTATATCCTTGTTATTCTTAAGGTGTTTCAGGGCTTCCACATTTTTGTCGTTTTAATGTCAGTGCACACTGTGCTCGTATTTCATCAGCCGTAGTGCTATTTTTATTTTAGGGATGACATCCTCAGGTTTCAGCTTGTCTACTGATACATTGAAATTTAGTCCCTTTTCTAATACACTTATTTCTGTAGGACTTAATATATGTGTTGAGAGATTGATAACCCACTTTGATTTACCGATCGCCTCTTCCAATGACCTAGTAGACTACTCATCATTTCTACCGCTACATAGTAAAAGGAATTGAGCACAAAATCAGTATTCAGTGTTATTTTACGCAGACAATCAATTAATAAGAGGTATGACGTTGATGGATAAATACTCAATACAGAAGACAACTGTGTTTAGGTATAAAAACTATCGTTCACTAGCTTTATTTTTCACCTAAACACATACACACGCATAGACACATTGATGTGATGAATGCCCACACATACACACACCCCTGCCTCCTATAATTATATTTATATAATCCCTTAAACGATCCTCATCATGATCAATCCTTTAGTAATACAAAAAGAAATACCAGAGAAATACTTAAGTAGTAAATAAGTAGTATAAATGAGAATCGCTAAAAAGATGGTAGAAAATGGTATACAAGATAATAATAATAATCATAATAGAAAGAGACACAATTAAAATACAATAATACACTGTGTTTCAATCAGTTTTCGTTTGTTTTTTTGTCTTATAGTGCATAATTGTTGTAAGCATATACGCGTGTATACGATTGTTGCTGAGAAGCAATGGACACTTTGATTCGCCATCAAACAGAATCTACATTATTTTGAAAGAGGGAGAATGATTCACATTGTAGGCGAAATCATGATTATCAACAGCGTAAAACATCTGGAATCCCATTTCCGCATAACACCCACACACACACACACACAAATGACATTGGTTATTCGATTAGGAGGCTTTGCAGTGATGCAAGAAAATAGAAAGTAGAGAGGAAGAATAAGAAGAAGAAATTCGCGACATACTTCGTCCCGTGACCATCAGCATTTCAAGTATAGTTGTTTTTCTTAACATTTTTTTCTCATCAAAGTATTTGTAACCTAGAATAACTAGTATGACGTTCATATGTATAAATAAATAAATACTAAGGTTTCACATAGTTTTGTAACAAGAAAAGAAGCACACACACACACACGCACAGATACAAATCAATCCGTTAATCAGAAAATAAAGGTAGTAGCACTACTACTAATGATCACATTACAGGAGCAGCAGCAGCAGCAGCAGCAACAGTAATCATAGAAATCATATAACAAGAGAGACAAGAGAGAGAGAGAGATAGAAAAAGGCATAGAATACAATACAATCATGAGATAATCTAAATAAAGGATTATGCAGCACTACTAGTTTCAGTTCTATCTGTGTTCATCACATTACCACTACCACTACTACTAGTATTATTGTTAGTAGTTGTAGTAGTTGTTGTTGTCGTAGTAGCAGCAGCATTATCCGATTGATGTATACTTTGACTAGGATTGATCTCATCATTTGCCTCTAAGGTCAATGAACGATCAACAACAGTAGCAGTAGATTGTGTGTATGTGTCAATACTATTTGTTGTCGCAGCGATAATTTCTTCATAACTAGGCGGTGGAGGTGTATTCGACTGTTTTGGACTTAATATTTGACTAGATGTTGCATTATTTTGTTCATTATCATCAACAATGGAACAACTAAATCGATGCATGCGCATTGGTGATGATTTGGGTAAACCATTTGGATGCGTGATTTGGTTATCATTCTGTGTTGGTAGTGCTGGTGGCGGTAACCAATCATAAGCAGTAGTAAAACGATCTGTGACTAATGTAGTAGGATTAGTAGCAGTAGTGTTCGCTGGTAGGGGTGTAATTCCAGAAAGTTTAACAATATCTGTATACGCCGGTGGAAGATCCATGTTTCTGAGGATAATAAAAGGGGAAAGGAAAAAAGTGTGGAGTAATAGTTCATTAAAAAATTTATTAGGAATACAAGTCAAGTTAATTAATGTTAAGTCGTGAAACTTTCTACCACCAACCACCTCTTTGATATACTCAGAATGGAGATGAATACAAAATTTATTACTATTATTATTGTTCCCTTGGCTTCCAAGTGGGATATAGGGCTTCAACAGCACGTTTCCAATCTTGTCCTGTTCTCTGAGGTCCTCTTTATCTGGCTCCACTAATTTTTCTTTTAATTCCTTCACGTTCACAGTGGAACATAGGGCTTCAAGCTACAGGCTTGAAGTTTGTGTAGCAGTGTTTATTTTTTACAGGATGGGGTTGCTAGCCTCATGCCCAACCTTTCCTCTTTACCAGCTTTATTTCTGGCTTAGCGAGGTAAAGGAGTGAGTCGGCCAGGGATCGAACTCCAGACCATGTGCATGGTCGGAGAGCGTCCTAACTGCTGTGCCACCGACGCACTACCTGATTCCATGATTACCAATAATCTCTCGTCTCCTCCTCCAACACACACGATCTCCCCTATGCCACCCTCCCACTGACCAGTCACTTGTCGCTTCCCATTTGAGTTACACTTGAGTGATGGCCTGTATTGAGTGCGATATCATACGAGGGCGTCCTCAATGTATGCCCGATCAATTTCGACTTTTTCCTACATATCCGTTAAGTAATAGCCTATTGGTTGGTTTGTTGCCAGCCAGAATTTCTTGTTACTAATTGTTTCTGACCGGCTGGCCATTTGCTCTTCAGTATGGATCCGGCTGTTAATAAAAGTCTGCAGCTGGCTGTTGTAAATAACTCTCGTGACGCATACGCCAAGTTTCTGACACATATAGAAACTGACTGACTTCGCATTTGTGTTGAAAAGTTTTCATAGAGAAAACATTGATTCTCCTGCACCATGCCTAATCTCCCCTCTTTCCCCAGGCTTAGGACTGGTTAGCGAACTGGCGAACTAGTGAACTAGGCGACAGAATAAACTTTAAAGAAGTCACCTCCTTCAATTACCTAGGCAACATCGTTTCAACTACAGGCAACAGTACAGATGGGGATGTCAAAACCAGCCAGAATCAGAAAGGCAAGACAGACCTTCATCACTCTGAAATCAGTTGGGAAATCGGCACTCACCAAAAACAACAAGATTATAATCTTGAACATCAATGTCAAGTCAGTTCTTCTATATGGGTCAGAAACTTGGCCTGAGCGTCAAGGAAAGCATTTCCAAAAGCCTGTTGCAAACATTTATCAACACCTGCCTTCGCTGGTAATATAGTGAAGATCAGATGCCCAGCCGGAAAGAATTAGCAGCAAGAAACTCTAGGAACAAACCGATGAAGAACCTATTGCTCAACAAATATCCCGAAGAAAATGGAGATTGGTCAGACACACACTAAGGAAACCGTAGAATGACATCGCGCACTACACAGACCCTTGAGTAGAACTCGAATGGGAAACGACAAGCTGGGCGTAGGTTCGAGGGTGACATGGAAGAGGTCGTGTAAGGAGGAGATGACGGCTTATGACCGACCCGCTAGCTAGCTAAAGAAGATTGCAGAGAAAAATACAAAGTGGAGATGTTCTGATGAAGCCCTATGTTCCAATTGGGACCTAAGGGAACAATAATAATAATAAATCGAAAATAGCGTCCGTGGTAGAATGCTCGCTAACCATCAAGGTGGTCTAGGATTCGGTTCCCGGCCGACGCTCTCCTTAACCTCACTGCTCAGCGAGTAGTAAGCCGGGTACAGAGAGAGAAGACTGAGCATGGGACTAGCAACTCCACCTTGTAAAACATAAACACCACTACTACTGAAACTTAAAACATAAAGCCTTATGATATCCCACTCGGAACGCATTGGAACAAAATAAAAGAAATAAATTATAAAATAAACAGGCGAAATTCAAATTATACCTTACAAAAAGTAGCCAGACTGTCAGTCACATATTACGAAAAAATTGTCAAAATAGTAGAATAAGAGTATTCATTCCATAATAATTTGTTTATTAGATATATTACACAATGAAACAGTATTATTTACTGGATGAAAAAGTTGCCAATACAATTTATTATTGTTCATAATCATATCATCAATTATAATCACATAAATTCGAAACTTCAGTTTTATAGTTTTCTTCATTCCTTCCTACTCGTCGTAGGGATAGTAGAATTTTCCAGATATCCAACTGGAATCGTGTTGAATCATTCCTAGTACACGTGTGTGCAGTTGATTCGTGAAATAAAGCTTCCGTTGTTACCAATCTCTCCCTCCACCCTGTTACATTAAGTTTTAAAACTGTTATCTTTTTCCATCCTATTGCATGGAGGTATGTAATTGCATGTAGTCAGTAGTATAGCTGAACTATTCTCCAGATTTCTTATCTTATTAAGATCAATTAATTTAGATTTTGCTAGGTTTTTGAGCTCCGCTAATCTGACTGACCCCGTTCTACTACTTTGACCTATATATTTGACCTGACAATCATTGTAGCAGGGTATTAGATAAACTAAATTGCTTTGCTTAATTGGCTGTTCTACAGGATTCTATAACCGCCACTAATTGAGTTTGTGGGTTTGAATGCCACTTTTATTCCTGCAGTGTTAAGAATTCTCTGTAAGGTTTCCGAAGTCCCTTCTTTGTATGGAAGCACTACTGATGATTTATATTCCCTATTGTTGGTGTTGTTATTAACCTGTGCATGTTTGAAATGCATGTCGTCATTCTTATTATTATTATTAATAGTAGTAGTGATAGTGATGATATTTCGCAACTCGTGTCCTAGTCACCTCAATCGCTGTAGCTTCACAACCTGATCAATTCATCTTCCCTCCTTGCCTGACACCCTACACCTAATCTCAATATTACTGACTATATATTATACCACTTAACACATGAGGAATAGAATGCCAACGACAGCTAGATTGGAGCCCAGATTGCATTGGTTGAAAATCCAGTGTTTACACCGATGAACTACACCTCGATACAAAATGATATGGACGAAAATGTAAATTACACCAAAGATTATTAATCACAAAATTCACGTCATCTCAGTAGAAACATGATTAACACATCAGTGAACAAATCGGCTTTATTAACTTATCCTCCACTAATCCCTAGTAATCCCATTGTCAGTGATAACATTCTATCATACTCAAAAGAGGGTTTATAGTCTATATCTGCATACCAGTGTCTGACTAGAGACCTAATGAAGTAACAAACCTCATCATTTATTTTATTAAAAGACACATGATATATTATGGCCACCAAGATATGCGCCATACAAGGGGAAGAGATAGGATACTGCCCGGCCAGCCCTACCGAATCAGGTGGTTGTCTTAAGAGACCACAACATCCCCCCCCCGGCGAGCTCTCCACTTTAGGCATGACCCACAAGATAGTGGATCGGTTTCAGGAACTGCGTTCCAATAGCTTTTTGTTGACTAAAACAGATTTATACGCCATTCGATCCATTCAAATCCTAGAGTACATGTTCACCATAAGGTTTGGAATCAGGGTTCCCAAGCTCCCCTATGTAGACCAACATGTCCACTAGTCCGACTATAAGCGCTAGACATTCGCATTTACCCTTTCACTTTAGTGAAGAACACCCTACACCCTGTGAGGGCAGAGGATAGAATTTACCTGGTAGAAGCTATGAACGCGTGTCCACGTGACAGTATTTTGAGAGGAAGATCGAAATCTACCCTCGACCATACCAGATCGTTTGTCGGGAAAACATACCTTATGACTATTTCACTTTACCTAGACCGAATTTAATCCCCGAGTGATTCACTAACCACACACAACTAACAAATATTTTCATGAGTAAATGTAGCATAGGATAATTGGTACACCTATTATACAAGCGACAGCTACAAGACAACCAGCTAAAACTTCTTAATTCATCAAACAACAGTGAATAAATTAGATAACAGTTTTGTCAAGACATGCATCATAATGTTTACGTGTGAATGATAGATTAAGCAAAACAATCTTTTTTCTTGACCTTATCATGTGTTCATAGAGCATCAGAATAATCTTAAACTGAATAGTATTGATCACGTAGATACATTTCGGATGTCACATAATGTTATATGTACTTTAAACAGAATTTTTTAAAACTTAATTGTAATTATAAGCATATGAATGCAATGAAATAGCCAAAAGACTTCTACATTAATCTGACATCATCGACCCCTTTGGGTTAAGATATATCTTGTCTTTAGTGTCGGGAATGTAACTAGTGTCCTTTGAAAGGCTTCATATGCTGTCATTAGTAAAAATACTTACAATTGATAAGGAAACAGATAGCATATATATGGTCAGTTGGAAATATTGCACTTCTTATGCAGTATATTATGTCCGTTCACAAACTCATTCGTGTTAAAAATGAGATCTCCAATGTGTATAATGTATCTACGTTCATACTTTTTGCCGTAGAACCACATATATATATATATATATATATATATACAGACTGACAGAAATAAGTCTACACCACACAAAGGACTAGACACATTACACTAGTTACTAACTAGTGTTCAATCAAAAGTACATAATACAGTTCTACAGGAGGCCAATCGGAAGCCCCAATAACTAAGTGGTAACGTCTTTGACTGTAGCACTGGGTGACACTGGTCCGAATCTCAGAAGGGACGAGAGTTCCTTCAAGGTTGCAGACACGTCTTGCTGACTGGTGAGTGCCAACTGGCACAAAACCTAGTTCCAAAACTTCCTGCCGATTGTCTCCAACTATCTAATATATACCTCATAAGAACGAAGGTTTTCGTTAAAAAAAAACAAATAGAAAGATAGTAAATGATGCAGCCAAAAAAATATATTTACTAAGAAAGGAGTTATCACAGTAATTAAAGTTCAAGGATGGATTTATCTTTTGATAAGTACAGGACAACGAGTAGGCGTGTTTGGAGCATTCGGAAAAACTAACAAACCAAACGGCCCACCCAAGTCTTCTTCGTTTTGCTGAGGCTATCTCAATTAAAGCGGCTGGAATTTGATTTATGTGTCTAAAATAAATTCATCGTTGGAATTCAGTTGCCCTGGTAACTCCCACCCCTAGTAACTTTATATTCGATTGCATTAATCTGTCTTTCCGTGGTTTCCGTTCAACCTCCACACTAGACTTATTAATTTTGGACTCCTAATGTTCTACTCATTGTGTTTTATTACATATTAGGGTCTCATATTTGATATCAGTGAGAGAACCATTGAAAACCAGGGAACACTGGACAGCTATTTCGTCCAGGTTTGGGACTTATCGGCAGTACGCGCCCGACCGGGTCTCGAACCTAGGGCCTTCTGGTTACGAGGAAGGTCGTAGGACATTCAGTCACTGCCGACGAGTCCCAAACTGGGACAAAACAGCTGTCCAGTGCTACCTGCTTTTCAATGGTTCTCTAATTGATATCAATCCGTGGTCAAACTTGAAACAAATCAAATCCCTACAAACAAACTCTTGAAAAGAAATGACATCATCACCCTTTCACTAGACGTTTTACATACCAAATGTTGTTGCTTTTTCAATCTTCTGAGTTATATTCATCGTATTTTATCAAGCCTTGTTACCAAGTGCTTGCCAAGTGCTTAAGAGATAAGTTAATTTTTTTAATGCTGCTACCCCTAAAATCAAATTTATTTATTTAATTATTTCAGGAGAAACTTCATGTGATCTAATGCTTTCAGATAAATGTTTTATCTCAATAATTTGTTAGAACACTGCTTCCTGGAGAACTGATTCCCTAAATCTCTTGTGATGCGGAGATGTGCCGAACTAGCAGCTTAGGTATTCCGTTTTCAGGCATTGGGTCCCGGCTTCGAGTCCTGCCCCACCTAATGTAGTCTCAGCGACTGGGTAGTCCCCACACACAAACAGTATGTGCGGCTTATAGCCCAGTGTTGGATAATTGGGATCTAACTAACTAAGAAACTAAATCTCCTTAACAGATATTCATGTTCATTTAATTACAGTGATTTGACGAAGAGTACTTATTTACAGTGCATAAGTGTCACAAAAGTCGATCCCAGGCATATATTTTAATTTAAGATAACCAGAAGTCTTCAATGAAGACGGCAACTTGCACAGTTTAATGATAATAAGTGATCACATGCACAAGGCTTGTTTCTGAGATTTTATCGCCTTAAATTCTTCAAAAACTCATGAATTCTTCCACATTTGCTTTGAGTCAGACATCTAAGGAGGTGTAAACTGCCCGGCTGGGGTCCTCAGGATACTAAAAACCAGTGGCTAGAAACTACTGATTGATGATTTGGCTGAAAATTGTTCTCATTGGGGCAAATGCATTCACTCTCTGTTATCTCTCATATCCACTATATTCCCATGTTTCTCCACGTCACTATTCTTTCTGTTAATTATAGTTCATTTGAATCTCTTTTGTTTACCTTTGTGTGTTACATAGAATTTAGCAGCTTGAATAGCTGTAGTTCTGTGCAAAGTTCTCAGTCAATTCAAAAACTTGGGGTCCCTTAATTAGAAAACAGTTTTCCTGAGATTTCCAGAACGCATCGTTGATGGATTTTACCGTGTGTACAAAACGCTGAGTAGACCTAAAGTTTCGGAAATTTCCATATAACATCAAATGCAAAACTGATCAGCAAATCAAATTCGCAAATTGACTGACTGACTGGTTTCAACATAGGAACTTTGCACCGATGTGCAGCAGTTCGACTTGCCACACTCTCTCCATGTAACACACAAAGCAAGAGAAGAAAGTAAAAAGAAATGCAAAACAGAAACAGTAAACAGAAATATGAGGAAAAAGAATAGTGATATCGAAGAACAATATAGTTTATTGGGTATTATAAGTCACAAGGAGTGGATGCATCTGAGCCATTGAGAACGATTTCGAGTGATATCACCAATTGTCTCAAGCCTTCATTGGTTTCTACCGTCCCGAGGACGCCAACCAGGAAGTCTAGACCTCCCCCCGTAACTGGCTTAAACTAACTGTTGTGAATTTCATTGACTGGTGCCATGTTTGAGTTTGACCGCCGCTAGCTCTTTTCCAGCCTGAGTGATCCTGTGTCTGCTAACATTGCCCATCGAGGAAGTCGGCAGCTAGACATGCATACGTAACACATGTCCTAACCATCTCACAGCTTCGTCAACTGATTTCCCCTCCTTACCTAGCACTTGACCGAAGCCTAAGCTCACTATTGCTCACCCTATTATACCACTTAATACGGGAGATAGAACGCAGGCATCTCTGATCAAAGACAGCTAGTCTTTTCAATGTCTTCCACTTTCAATGGCTATGTGTCACAGTCATAAAGGAGGACGGAGCGGACTGATGAGCAGTACACACGCCTTTTGGTCGATAGCAGGATATCACGTCTACGCCAGAAATGGCGTAGACTGGCAAATGCCAAATAAACCTTTTGTATCCATGCTGAGATTTCATCAGCTATCAACCAGTTGACACTGGCAGATGCAACTTCCCAAATAAGTGAAGCGGTCAACACGCCCTACCAACCATTTTCACTCCCTATTTCTAAGCTAGGAGTCAGTATAGTCCAGTCCTATAGCATCATCTTACATTTGGCGGGAACGAATCGCATGCTAAACATTCGTAGGTGTTCAAAAGGCTCTGAATTTTGTCAGCGTCTTCACCCAGGTGGGAGGACTATATCATCTGCATATTCTAAATCAACGAGATTATACCCTGGTAAAAAGTCAATCCCTGAGTCGCTGGAGTCACTTAGGGTTAAGTCCATTAGTACATCCATGATGAAATTGAATAGAAATGGGGATAGTGGGCATCCCTGACGGGCACCACCAGTTGTCACTAGTTCAAATTACACAACTCCATATGGAATTTCAGCATAGTTTCCTTTGGAAACCAAAATTAATCAGATCTACTTGATATCAGAAATGGTAATCAAGAAAGCAAGCATAAATGCTACTAACTGAGTGAAATGAATAGTTGGATACTAACTTGATCAGCCAATAGCGCTTGCTCGCCAGAATGAAGTGGTCTAAACACCTTAACTCCATGTATTACCAGTTTTCCCAAGTAGCTAGTAGCCTGAAAATTCTGCGGGTCTGAAATGAACTAGCTATCTGAGTTGAATCAAAACGTCACGCTCCACTGATTAGCTTGGCCAGAAACGTGAGGAACGGTCATCAGGTGTTTATATCACTTCAACCTGACTAGCATGCACTTCCTGTGATTGATGTAATTCGTATCCAACTACTCATATCTACCAGTCAGTAGAATATACCATCATGCATCAATCAGCAAAGTAAATCCCCCCACCCAAATGAAAAGTTCAATCTCTAAAGAGAAATGAAAAAACTGCGATGAACAGCTAGTCAATATTTAAGATAAAGTCCCATAAACGACGTAGTATGGTCTGGGGTGAGTAGAATTCGATCTTCCTCTCCAAATGCTCGCACGTAGCCACGCATTGTATAGCTTCTCTTAGGTAAGTCCTACCAACTCCCTTCACGTAGCCGGTGTTCCTCACAAAAGTGAAAGGACGAATGTGAACGCCTGGCACTTACGATCTGGTCTATATAGGGGAGCTGGAAAACCCTGATCCCAAACCTTTGGTGTATATGGGCTTCAAAATCTGAAAGGGTCAAATGGCGCATGAACCCGTCCCGGTCATCGATAACCATGAGAATTCAACTCCTGACGCCATTCCACTGCCTTGTGGATCACACTTCAAGCCAAACGCTTGGGGAATGATAAACGCCTCCTTCTGTCTGTGCGTCTGGATAGTATCTCATATCTCACACAAACTATAAGATTTAGTGTAGTGCATCTCTTGATGCACACAATGTACTAAGTCTGTGTTCTATAATAATAATAATAATAACAATAATAATAATCTCAAGTAAAATAAAATAAATTACCCCAAGTTAATAGGATATCCAGTTGTATTACGATGATTTTGTAAGTATTCTGAAGCATCATCACTAACAGCATTATTCTGCAAGTGAGGTGTTCTATTTCGTCTTCTACCATTTCGATTTAATCCACTGCCAGTGGCATTTCCATCATTTTGTCGTGGACCACAAATTTGTCGAAATAAAAAGCGTACAAAGCATACTACCAAAGTGATAAGTGCTATGGCGCCAACAATTCCACCAAGAATTTTATACAACTGGAAACCAGAATGATCAAATGAACAGAATGGTATTATATCTACGATAGAACTGCTATCCCGACTAAAGTATACTTTATCAGAAGATACACATTCATTACACTCGAATTCTGTTTCACCTGCTATAGAAACAAAAATAAACAAGAAAACAAATAAAATAGGAAGGCAAAGAATAGAAAACGATATTATCAAAAAACAAAAAACAGAAATTATTTCTAAACAATAAAGACAATTCAATGTACTAGACTGACTGCTTTCAACGTACAACTTTGCACAGAAGCGCAGCATTTCGACTTGCCACACTCTCTCCATGTGTAACACACAAAGCAAGAGAAGAGAATAAATAGAGTTCCAAAAGATACATAATAAACAGAGGTGTGAGTGAAAAAGAATAGTAAAATGCAAGAAAAATAGAGTTTTATTTAATATGATGAATCACAAAGAAAAAGACGTAAACAGAGAAGAAAATTTTCTTTTCGACTATTCATTTTCATAAGCTGTACACAGTTGCAATTATTATATTTAATAAAGAATTCATAAGACCAATCAGATACTAGTAAAATTTGTCCTCGAAAAAGTACCGAGTAATGGAAGGTGTAGTCCAGAACGGGTGACTAATTGGAAATTAGAAAAGTGGCAAAAGTTGGAATGACGTAATAAGTATGAGAAGATGAGTAATCAGTATAGTTGAGTAGAGTGGACAAGAACTAGTGGAAAGACGATAAGAAAACTCGCTTCATGAACCTGAAATTCAAAGGTGACATCGAAGCAGAAACTCTTAGAAACCGCCTTTCTAAATGTTTGAAGAAGACATTTCAAGCAGCCACCAGCAGACAGTTAATCCAGTCTAACGTTAAGGATAAGATACTGCTTTCGGTCACTTTAATGTGTATTTATCAGTTTACTTGTTCATGTGGAGCAAAGTATATCGACTGTACTCAACGTCAAGTCTGCAAAACGTATTCTGGAACACTGTCCAGCTTGGCTAGTCAGAGGAGAAAAGAAAAATAGTAACAGCTCCATCCTCGAACACCTTGTCAACTCTGGACACCGAGCACTCTGCATGAATACTTCACAGTGCTACACAGACTTCCTCAATATCGTAGTGAAAGGACTTCACCACCTTACATTACGTAATACGTTTTCGAGGACAAATCCTACTAGTATCTAATGGTCTTATGAATTCTTTAATATATATATATATTTGTATTTTATTATTTTTTTGATTACAGCTTGATTCCACACCGTATTTGTTGGTACAGGTATGGAATTTTCAGCATGTGATATCGGTAGCCCAAATTTTGCAGGCCGACCATAGATATTATGTGTGCGTCGGCAGGGGATCGAACTCCGGACCGTGTACAGCTTATGAAAATGAATCGTCAAAAAGAAAATTTTCCAATCTGTTTATCTTTTTCCTATGACTCAGATCACAATGAGTAAACGTATCTGCGCCATATCACCAATTGTCTCCAGCCTTCATTGGTTTTTGTCATTCCGAGGATCCCAACCAGCCGAGCAGTTTACACCTCCCTACGTCTACGTAGCTGGCTTAAACTAACTGTTATGGATTTCACTGACTGGTGAAGCCATGTTGGTTTTGGTTTGATCATCACTATCTTTTTACAACCTGATCCCATGTCAGCTAACATTGACCATCGAGGAAGGAGATGGCTAGGCATGCATGCGTAATACATTTCCTAACCATCTCAATTGATGTAACTTCACAACCTCATCGATTGATTCCCCCCCTCCAACCTAGACCTCGACGCTTAACCTCAATATTACTCACCCTACTATGCACTAGAATGCATATTTCCAAGTGAAATTAGCAAGCTGAGCGTTTTGTCATTTAATTTAATTAAGAACGCATAAGTCAGCAAGGAGATCTCTTCTTTTCGTAACTTCACTACTTCAGAGCTGTACAGTTATTTAGGGACTTATAAGTACAACGTTAAATGATAACCAAAGGTAAGAGGTGATTATGACTCTAGATAAAGTTTGTACTGGTGCTACATGGTTAGAAGTAATAATGTGCTACAGAATTCACTTTTATGCTGAATGTTTCGCGTTCTCCTTTCAACAGCCATGCGCTAGTTGATGGTCATAAGCACGTGTCTTAAGAATGTCCGGCTAGTACAGTCTATGTACTTAACTCCATAAGAACAAGTGAATTAGGGATTTATTCAATGAAGCCTACACGGAGATGTGGTTATTGCTATACAAGTAGTATTCTACACGTAATGCAACTTGGGATATCAACTTTTCCGCTATTAAATACACACACACTGGCAGTAAATTGAGTGATCTCAGCTGATTTTGTAATCAAGCTTATCAGGTTTTTGCTTCGTTTTGACATAATCAGATACAATAGTCAAGGAAATTAACACAGAGAGGAACGCGTAGTTAATTTTCCAAGAGTTTACAATGTAATATCCTATTAACGAACCCGCAAATTTCTTAAAAATGAACATGAACGGATAGAAATTGAAGCGGAAGTTCAAACCATTTATTCATAACCAATTCTTCGGAGGGCATTTTCACCGGCTAAACCAAAAAATAATCGGAATGATGATCAATAGGCCAGGTATTTCTGCCTACAGATTTTTTTCAAAACTGAACCTAGTGTCAATTATGTAGGTGTATAGTGTTGTGATTATTTGTATTCGCCAACGAAATATCCGAAACTCATTGTTTACTGTGGACGCATTTGTCACTATACCTCTTGATGTCACAGATTTAAAAAAGCCTCCCACTTCTCAGGAAAATAACAATAATTATGTGAAATATTACGGACTGATAAGATCACACTGTGGAGATCACATCGTTGTAACAAAGATCAAGATTATCATTAGATGGAGGGATTTGAATGTCACTCACTGCAGAAGAAGTAGCATTTCACTACTGAACCCCTAAAACGATGTCTACACAACTGGCTGCCTTTTTTTATGTTTCATATTACTATTACTCGAAGACATAAGATTGACTGGACACACTTTTAGCAAAAGATCGGCATCATCGACTTTCTGGGCTAACGCTCTAAGGACATCACTTGAAACCTTCCTGTTCGGCTTTATTATAGCGCTACTTGTGAATTAAAATCTCCCCTCCGCCTCACCAACAATGAAAACTGAATATCTAAACCAGGTTTTGGTTCAAAAAATCCATCACACATTCTGAGATAGTTGCTGAGTAGACAAGAACAGTAAAAAGACATCAGTACGTCAGATATTTTCTAGTTTTAAAAATGAATGGGATTGTCGAACAGGGCACTTTTCGCCATAGATCACGCCTACACACTTGCTAGACCTCTGAGAAGTGCCTCTGGCAATCCTGGATACGCATATCGCGAGATGTGTAGTCTCACCACTCTGATTGAAGGAATCATCACACTTGGATATTGTGTTTCACAATGATACTATCCACCCATTGTGCCGAATGCTAGAGATTTGATTAATGCTGTTTTCTGAGAGATTTGAAATGACCACATACATTGATAGATCCAATACATAGTTTGGAGCACTGCTCTTCAAGGAACCAGATATAACTATAAACTCAAATCACTTACGCAAATTACAGAACAAGAAGTTGAAGGGTAAAGTAAATTTGTCAGTAGAGGGATGTGAAATTTACAAAAGCAGTAAGATGGTTGATAGTAATGCGAGACTTAAGTGTATCGGGGGGGGGGGGTACTAGTGTATTCTCCATAAAAGCTCATACAGGGGAAATTCATGTATATTTGCCATACCTGAAGGAGTAGGGAGATTAGTTCTCTTTGAGTGCAGGATACGGGTCAGTGATATGTAATCTGTCTTAAAGTCCTCGGTTTTGTATACGACCCATAATATTTACCATGCACCGAGCCACCCTAAACTGTTATTACTCATTTAAGACTGATCATTAGGCTCTAAAGGAGGGAAAGCAGAAATGTAGAAATGGTCTCGAAGAGCCTTTCTTTCACATGAGGGCGTATACTGTTAGCTTAATTCTCTGTATTTATGAAATTACATTGCACCATATCGACTGACTGAGTTTCCACATACGACTGGCATAGAAAGTGAAGTTGTTCAATTTGCTACACTTGATGCAGCACACAGAGTTAGAGAAAAGAGATTCAAATGAACTATTAATGAGCAAAAATATAAGGAAGAAAAAATAGAAACAGAAAAACGCGAGGGTTTAATGAATATGGGAGGCCACAAAGAGTGAATGCATCTGATCCATTGCGAATAATTTTCACCTATATCATTAAACCAATAGTCTCCACACATTGGTTGTTCTTAACAGCAGCTTGATGACCACCAACCAGGCAGCCTACACTTCTTTACCTGGCTCAAACTAACTGTCAAAAACTTCACAAATTGATGCAGGTTTTGCTTTAACCAATACCAAACGGACTTTGTTATCACTGGTATCAATTTGAAAAAGGTATTTCCATCACTCCAGTAACCATACGAATAATGCAACTAAGCGAATACGTAGTTGTTCATGAAATATAGCTAATATACAGGCAAATTATAGCGTTCAGTTATCTAAACCTAAGGAACAGTGAAATACTGACAGTGAACTGACTGCCTACTGGAATAAGCTGTCTGGAATACTAATTAAGTCACTTTTACAGAGTTGACCATATAATCCACTAAGAAAAGATAACCTACAGAGAGTAGATTCAAGTGGTGGTTTGCAAGGATTGGATTTGATTGGCTACAGGACTTTATCATGAGCTGACATCAGTTAGAGAACCATTGAAAAACCTGCAAGGAGTACTAGACAGCTGTACCGTCTTAGCTTGGGACTCTCCAGCAGTACCCACCCACCAGGGTTCGAAACTAGGACCAATGATCAACCCATGAATCCCAACTTCTGCCAATTCACGATATTGCGTGACCACTAGCCAATGTCATTCGTAGTGAGTATTTGTTCTCACACCCGACCTGCTATAACCCCACTGGTTACGACTTCTCATTAGAACTTAGGTAACTACCTATGTGAATAGGGCCAGTCGCTAGTGAGCATCAGATTGTTAACTGTAAAGTGTCAATGATAAATTCGGTATCATTGAGAGAAAACTGGTCAGATCCACCCGAGTAAATAGCGATCCACTGTTAAAGCATTAATAATGAATTCTAACTTATAAAGTATGCTATGTTGGCTAGAGGAATAAAGACTAGTCAATGGCATTGATGATTTGCTACGCCATGTACAATATTTTTACAATGGGAAGGAAAATAAGGCTTATCCTGATTAAGTAGTTGAATAGGATATCTTTAATTCCAGAATTGGTGAAGAATAAAATTAACTTAAGTAAAAGAATAAAATAAAAGCAGTAATCTTGTGATTTTGGTCTGTTTTTAACCTGAATGAAATAAGCAACACAATAATAATATTAACTTACGGTAACACTCATGTCTGCTAACCAAACGAAACACATTCAAAATGGAGACAGATTGACAATCACAAGTACGAAAGCGTTGTTTCTCAGCAACAATAACTTTGGTCTGTCCACGTATTGTTTGTTGCACATAAGCTCGATTAGGTTTTCTGGAAATATTGTTTGATGGTAATACACACTGGTTAGTCTGTATATCATCTGCCATGGGGATTTCTTCAAGACTACGCCAAAGTGATGGAGTTCGTCTTACATGACCACTGATACATTTAGTCGGGGAACATGGACTCCAAGAAGACCATGGGCACCATTTACGTCGAGTAAGCCTACTTCTATCATCATCAAGATCATCTGCTTCGGAATACACTGAATAATTGATTATCATCAAAAATAGGATTGCATTTGTAAGACCTAATCGTGATAGTATCGGAAATTCAGGGGATGACAGAAGCGAACCATGATTTACAAAGAATAAGTGAAGAGAGGAATGCTTTAGGTGCATGGAGATTTCATTGGAAATCTAGTGAGGAAATAAAATGAAAAACAACTATTTTTTGTAAAGGAATCGATAGGAAATACAGAAGATTTAAAAAATGAACAATACACCTACACTGAATGGTAGTCTTCAGTAAACAGACTGATACATTGTAAATAAACAGATTCCACTAAAATTTGATTGGCAGAAAAACATTGAGTACCGGATTAAAAAGCATAAACACGCTTACATTGTGTGTACGAGAAATTTCGAAAGCTCGGTTTGTCCACTTAAGATATTGACTTTTTTTATTCTTTGCTATCCAAGAAGAGCAAAGGTTCCAGGCTTTTTCAAGTCCCAGTAGGAGTGGTGTTGTCTTTAATGGATAAGTCTGCTACTCTAAGGCCTAATCTTCCTTCTTTTCAATGCCTATTACTGACTAGTAAACTAAGTGACTTTTAGAAGTGTGTCAGCCGGGAGTCGAACCCACAAATATCTTGTGGCTGGCGAGTATTCTACTATTGAACCACTCACGTGTAGTATTGATCGTAGGGAATTAAAAAGAAACAGAAATAATCCTTTCTCTATAATTAATAAGCACAATGTAACGTACGGCTAATGTGATGTAATCAACGATTTTAGCTGAAAAAATAATAAAACATTTAAGCTTAAAAACAAGAGCGTCTAAATAGCCAAGTAATGTGAAATATAGAACGAATCGCAAAATTTGAATAAATTATCGACTGGAACAAAGCAGCCAAAAACGAGGGCTACTCAGTTTTTGCAAAAAAACAAAAGACATTGTCACAAAGCTAAATACAATGAACAGTTACAATCTAGGCGAATGACTGACTGAATGATAATGAAGAGGGCACCCACAGTTCCTGTGGGTAATTTTATTATTATTATTCCCTAGGGTTCTGAGTGGAACATATGGCTTCAGCAGCATATCTCCACTTCACCCTGTTCTCCGCAGTCTTTTTAGCTGGCTCCACAACTGTCCATAAGCTTTCATTTTTTCTCCCTCACATGATCCTGTTGATGTCACTCCCAGAAGCCGCCCCTCCTCCCGTGGGCAATGATACCCTTATAACAGATGAATGAAGTTTATCACTACTAATGACTGCTGTTGGAGATTTAAAAAATAAATTCCCACGAAAGGTTTGTTTAAACTAAACTCTAACTAGGTAATTCCTACGCCTGACCTAACCCTAACACTGTATAACTGACACTAAACGATGGTCATTTGTATGAATACTAAAAATCCAACGACAAACTGAAAGTAATTCTAGCGAAATTTTGTAGTAAGGAAACTGAATAATATTCTTATAATAATTTAAAGTTTACTGTGGTTGGTAGCTTCATGGTTATAGAGTCAGTCTTTCATTTGCATCACTATTTTTCTACTTAGCCACAACTTCATACTAATTATTCTAACTAAATAAAAATGATGTGATAGAAGGTTTGAGTGATGATTCTATCTAAAAAGGCAGCTCTTAAATGTCTAGAAAACAACCACCGGCTATCAAATAAATATTTTGCAGTAATATGGGATATTTACGTAAATAAAAGATATTAAATTGACTGAATACTGAAGTTCATTGCCATCAATGAATGGTCAACTAGCTTGCCAATATATTAATCTAATAAGAACTCTACACTATAACAGCCGCCTACACAAACGACCTGGTACGGCTGGGAGTGGGTAGTATTCCCCTCAAAATACTCTCAATGTGGCCACGCGTTTATAAACTTTGTCAGGTAAGCTTTATTAAATGCCATCAGACCGTTGGCGTGTTCTCTACGAGAGTGAAAGGGTGAATAAGAATGTCTGGTGCTTACAACCGAACTGGTGAACATGGTGGTCCACATAGAGGAGCTAGAAAGTCGGTCGGTTTTCGACATAGAACTTTGCACATATGTGCGGCAGTTCAAGTCGCCACACTCCCTCATTGTAGCACACAAAGCAAGAGAAGAAAGTAGAAGAACTGCATAATATAGACAGTAAACAGAGGTGTGAGACAAAGGGATAGTAATAACGAAGAACAAAACAGTTTAATTGGAAATCATAAGTCACAAGGAGTGGATGCATCTGCGCCACTGAGAACGATTTTGAGCCATGTTACCGATTGTTTCCAACCATTGGTTTTTACCGTCTCGAGGACCCCAACCAGTCAGGAAGTCTACACCTTCCTACGTGGCTTAGACTAACTGTTGTAGATGTCATGACTGGTGCATGTTTTTTCACCTTTTATCAGCTAACATTGCCGTCAAAAGTACAGCTGAAAGTCTGATTCCGAGCCCATATTGTACATGGGCCTCATTATCCTAACGAATCGAATGACTTATGAACCTGTTTAGGTCACTGGAAACCATGGGTACGCAGCTACTGACGTTGCCCCACTGTCTTCTGGGTCAGCCTTACAGTCGACAGCTCCGAGAGGGGATGACCACTTAAGACAACCACCTAATTCGATCTGGGCGTCCAAGTAGTATGTCCGCCGTTTCACAAATTGTGGCGCATCTCTTGGTCTCCATAATGTACTAAATTTTTGTTTTAATAATGAAAGTAGACATCAAGACAACTACAACTATGTTGTCCTACAACTCTCGAGAGAGAATAAAAGTTTTTGAGCAAATGTACTTCAACTTGTACTATAGATTTCCACTGATGGTGGCAATATTTTTCAAGGGAGGAACAAGTCTGTAACCAAAAAAAACTATGACACAAGTTGTATGTGACAGACTCACAGTCGACTACCTTTAACTGTGTAATCAGTCAAACTAACCCACTTTTAACAATGTGGAAAGACTGAGAAGAGGTTTTCATTCATACAAACAGACCCCTAGTACATTTTAGCCGCATCGAATGCAATAAATAGGAGCTATCTGACTGAGTCCAATTACACGAAACAGATAAAGACGGTTGGTTATTATTTTTTTCAGTCTCTGGACAATTATCACAATCGTTACTTATGAATTAATGTTATCTATACAATAAACAATACATATATACAGATAGATATACACACTGAGACAATTTAAAAATGACAAGTTAACAATATCACTAGAAATACACGACTAGTTACATTTATTCAATTGGTACAAATATTTACCCAAAGGCGATTTTCAAACATGTTCACTTTGATCTATGTACTGTTTGACTGTATTTTGATTAATAAAATCCCAGTATTTCTACTGAAGAAGCTGTAGCTTACACAGCAAAACGTTCAGAAAAATCTTGTTTCGAACTTCTAAACACGCTGGGATCACTTTAAGTTTTGTAATATCCTAACAGCCGTTAGGATCCCTAGCTTTTACATAAGTAGCCCAGGTTTTACTCCCGGCGCGGGACCGCTTTCGCGTCAGTGATTCAGTGGTAGAACGTTCACCTACCATCATCGTTGTCCGGATTTCGAAAACTAGCCGACTCACTCCTAAACGACGCCAAGTCAGTAGTAAGGTAGATAAAGAAGGACATGAGGCTAGCAACCCCACACCGTAAAAATAAAACCGCTGCTACAGAAACTTCAAAGCCCTAACTTGCAGCTTTGTTTCACTCGGAACGTAAAAGAATAAAATAATAAGTAATACTACCTTTTACAAATACTTGAAGAAATCAACTCTCAGTGTGTACAGACAAAAAATATCAACCAGATACGCACTCCTAAACGCACTTCGGTATTTTTGACCATAAAACCTCAGTTTTACTCTTAGTTTTGCTTATCTAACAAACCGAATTCATCAGAATCTTGCTCTTCATTAGCTTGCATTGATTATTAGGGTTCATGGAACAGCATCCTTGACCATTGGAATATCCCACTAACTTAAAATTCGAATTTTTCTAATGTTTGTATTTGTCTACTTGTTGAAACATTACCAACAAACACCCAGGCACTACTACTAGTCTCACCAACCACTGACTTTAAACATTTTTGCGAACACAACCAAGCCACCTACACAACGCGTGACTCGGATCTACGGAAAACGACTTTCTGTGATGTCACATTTCAGTTGTTTGTCCGAACTTCGTTACTAGGATTGGGTCTTTCGTTTAATAGATTATGAGCCACACATTGTGTGAGGACTGATGCTACAATGCAGTGGCCAACACTGAAGTAGGGGGTGGGAATTTGAACATGGGACCCACTAGCTGATATTCGAGTGCTTAAGTCAATGAGAGAAGTTTGCATGTTTTAGTTCAATAATCTCCAGCACTACTGTAACCAAAATCTCCCTTATATAGTATTTTTCAGACCCAACTGAATAATGGTTGGTAGCTGTCCATCACTGTTCAGATAAACTGATGGGGTTGAAAAAAATCATAAGACAACGAAGTCTCATCCCCGCTAAAAATGAGCCTAAATAGCTATCTGCACTAGCTAAAACTGATATCATGAACAAAAAGCACCAAACATGGTGACCAATGGATACAATGGCTACCTTGGTACTTCGTGTTTTCATCAGTTATGACTGAAAGAGTTTCATGAAGCTGTAACATTTAACCCGATGTTTACTACAATTTCGTAAAAGCATTATTCATTTACGTTTTTTGGTGTTAAAAAGATAATTGGAAAACATCCAGTTCTAACTGATCGACAAATATATAAGGTTAAATTCATCAGGTGGTCATACACAAACCCTAGCACTATTTGTTATGAGAAACGACGATATAGTTTGATGCCGAAAGGACGACTTCACTAGCTTTACCAGAGATCATCCATAAGCGGGAATGCATGTTTGCCATCTCGGACCATAATGTGCAAACAATGGGGCTACTGACCGAACGCCTATGAATAACGGTCAATAGTGAAGCGACGACATAATACTTAGATGATTGGACTTATCAAAGATAAACGTTAAAAATGAAGAGTTGTGATTACTAACACTTGTAAATCACGAGAATAGGAAATTAGCAGGAATCCGTTAAACTGTTGAAAAACAATTCTGTGTACGTCGATTGCCCTCTATTTTGTCACTTCAGAGGAAACTAATATAAGGCCTCCAAAGTCAGAAAAGGTCTGTTCAACTATCAACAGAAAGAATCAGCAGGGAGTGACGGTAGAATTCGTGGAAAATTTCTAAGAATGCCTATCTCAGGTGTTTAATTTTACAACAGGACACAAACGTACATTTGTCAAACAATGGTATAAACCTGGCACCGACGTATGGGCTTCTTGACTTCGTTTCTAGGAATGCTAAGAATGGGTATAGTGTAACCTATGGTAGGATAGCTGTGAAAAACTGCACTCATCTCTATTCACTTAACTTTTTCTTCACAGCCGGGATTAAGTATTGCAGCATTATTGTTTTTGTGTAATCATTTTGTGCGCACCCTCGAAGTGGCGATTAAATCGGCTCATTTTTGACAAGTCAATTCATTTCTTAAACTGTTTGTCCACTGCCATTAGTGGTGACTTAGTTCGAATCTCCTTGAATATTCAAAGTTTCACTTGTCTATAATCCACCCAAAGTATTACAAACTGTCTCAACTGTGGGTGAAGCATTTGCTCTCTGAGTTACACTTGGCCAGCTAATTGCCCACGCTCAAATTATCTTATTTCCCTTCAGTAAAGTAGTATTTGTATCATACTTTACTTTCAATAGTTAATGTAGACTGTATAGCAACATACTTAACCTAAAATCTCAGCCAGAAACCTTTAGAAAAAGCATAAACGTTGCCAGTAACCTCCTTAATTGCATATAAATCCAAATAAACACAAATATTCGTAAGTGTTTAAATCTCTCAGGGGCATTCAGAACCTCCGCAAAAGAAAAGACCTTACTGAATAATTAAAGAGACCGCGTAACCAATAATTTTGAAATGGGCTGATCAATCCAATGCCCAATATACTTCTGTAGATCCCATTTAGAAAGGTGGTCTCAATTCTTGATTGGCTTTCGCTAGAGTCAGTCTATGCATCAGCTGCGAGTTATTCGGTTCAGTAGAATTTTGCGTTGGATTTTACTGCGTTTTGCTGAGAATTTAACGACACTTGTTGAACCGTCGGCATTTCACCTACCAGTCCAATATCCAGCATTGTTTTTACGAGCTAGTATAAACCAATTTGACTTCTTTGTGCTCGCCTCTTGATTGTGAGTTAAAGGTTCCTGATCTTCGGTAAACTTCTATGTAGCTCGTCTCGCCACTCTACTGTCGTAGTTTTGGTTGACTCCAAAAGGAGTAGTGCTGGGATTAATTATACGTGGTTTGTAGTATGAGGTGTGTTAAGACTGTTACTACTGTGAGTGAAGTTCACCAGTTAGTCCTCCGGCATCGTCGTCAAAAGAAAAGAGATAATAATAATATATATAGTTAGTGAAGTTATTCAGACTAACAGACAGAAAAAGAAATAAAGAAAATGTAAAAATAGACAGCTGATTTAATTTGAAGTTGATATATATATATATCGGTAGCAATAATAATAAGTGTAGCTGGAGTTGTCGGGAAAGTAAGATGGAGGAGGATATGAAGAAGTAAAACGACGAACTTAGGTGTCTACCCCCGAATGGTGTATGCGATTTTAAGAGGATAGGCCATTTGCACGCAGTGCCGCTGCACGATTGTCCAGCCTTCGCTTAAAGGCGTTCGCAGACGGTCCCGTAGCTATGTCTGCCGTTAAAGAATTCCAGGGATGGCAAACCCGCAGTGAAAAGAAGTGGGAGCGCACCCGGGTCTCTGCCCTCTGGCGAGCTGTCCTTTTGGGATTTCCACGAGGAAGCTTATGCATACTAAATGGCAGAAAATCTTCGTTTGAGTGATTCCGGTCATTTTTTATTTCGTAGGCAGTAATCAAATCCCCCTTAGCCAACGGTAACTAAGTGTGAATAGGCCTAGTTTCTTTAGCCTTTCATCATATGGTTTATTTCGAAGACCAACCATTCCTTTTGTCGCCCGACTTTGAACTCTTACAAAGAGGTTGGCGTCTCTTCTAACCATTGTGGGTGCAATAATATTATGCACTTCAAGGCGTGGTCCTACGTATGTTTCGTACAACCTTGGAAAGAGCTCAGGAGTGAGTTCACCTAACTGTCTATATGTAAAGTATGTAACCACATATGCCCTCGCTACGTCCCCCATGTAATTTATGCTTGTGTCATTTTTTCCGTTTGAGCTAGACCTAAGTCATTCTCCGACGTTGTGCAAGACAAGCTTTCATTGCACAGGGTGTAACTTGCATTCTGCAGTCTACAGGTACGTAAAAACATTACTTTGCACTTTTTCAGGTTAAAAGTCACGCCACTGGCCACCGCCCAGTCTTCCAGAAGCTTTAGATCTGCGTACAGCCTGTCTGGTTCCTCCAGATACTTTATTGCCCTCCATATCTTTACGTCATGAGCGTGTAGAAAGGTTGGGCAGTTTAGACGGCATGGTAGATCATTGATAAAAATCAGAAACATCAGTGGTCCTGGGATAGAACCCTGCGACACTCCTGATGACGAGCTGTACCAAGATGATCGGGCTCGATTGACCTTAGTGCAAAATTACCTTTCAGACAGGTAGTCCTTCAACCATGATAGAAGTGGCTTACCTGTACCTGCCTGACTTATTTTGTGTAGGAGACAATCATGGTAAACTGTGTCAAATTCCTTCTCAAAGTCTAGGAAGACCATACGGACTGGAACATTCATATGCCAGCATGATGTCTAGTCGTTCCAAGTTGATACTAGGTTTGTTACACACGATCTGCCTTTCCTGAAATCGTGTTGGACCTTATGGAGTATATTAGACCTATCGAGGTAATCCCTGATGTGATCGTCAATAATACTTTCCAGTACTTTTGTTACCACTAGGAGTAGAGCCACTGGTCTATAACTAATGGCATTTTGGCCATCTCCACTCCTTAAGATCGGAGAAAGGATGGCTCTTTTCCACTCCCTTGGCAGTTTCCCCGAATCCATTGAGTGTTGGAACAAGTCGCCTAAAGGCCTGCAGAGAGCTTCGGCGCACTTTTTCAGAACAGATGGCCTGATGCCGGAGACTTCACAGGGGTGAGTCTCTGTAGTCGTTCAAAGAGTTTATAAAGCAAATACAAAAGGCAAGAGGAAGCCAAGAAAGTAAAACCTATGAGTTTATATTTGAGAAATCTTCCGATTAAGTTGTGGGCTGAAATATAGTATACAAAAGAAGGCTTAAAGTCTATGTTAATCCTTCTCTGATAACTATCAATTCTTGCGTAATCCCTTCTCATACAAGTAAATTAAAGGTGGGGGCACTACCGATTCCCACAGTAGGTTCTGAGAGTTAATGACTAAGTGGAAAAGCCACCACTTCACAGCGGCATAATCCCACTTTGGCTTTGGAACCTTATCTCTAAGTCTTCTGAGATGTCTCTAACTGGTATATAAGGAAAGAGAAGACGAACCAGACTCGCGGTTATCTCCTGGAATTTCACGCGTTGTGATTAGGTTCCGTCACTGATAATGAGAAGAGGTGTAAAGTGTTACTTCATTCAACATGTGGTAGATGGTGGCCAACAAAATGAAACACCCCATTTTATCGTTATGTAGAGACTTGAAGCACAGCAGTCTTGAGGCACCTTTTCGCTCTTGACAACGTCCTGCTGAACATTCACCAGGTTCCTTCTCGAGTTGTCCAGAAATCCCCATTCTGGAGATAATTTTGGAGTCTATCTAACTGTTTCCAAATGACTACACCAAACTTCTCCATGCCAGACCATTTTGTTATACCATACGCTTATTCTAAGCAAAATCGAACATTGTTGCTGGCTCAGTTGCGTACTTAACATGTAGAAATGTGGAAAAAATGTCTTTCACGTTCATGTTTACAGCATGCAACAATCTACGAGTGAATCTGGTGAAGAAAGCACGATCAGGGTTGATATTAGCAAGTTTTTCGAAGAGCATATTAAACCTTGACAATTTCCCAGCTAGCATTATTTTTGGGCGCACCCCACCGATATTTTGATACAGTTTGCCTGAAACACTAATCATTGTAACCAATATGCTAGGAGTGTGTCACAGTAGGATTACATGACGCGGACACCAACATAGGTAGCCAGGAAATGGGAATTCCCATTAATACAGAAAACACATGACACAATTTTATTAAAAATTATTGGCAAAAAAAATTTCCAAGCGAAAATTCAACAGAACGTGATATTTAAGGTCAGCCAAAATATGTGGAAGAAATGTGTAAAGCCCTAGAGCTTAAAAAATTCACTAAAAGCTCGCGTACAGTTTCTGTATAGTTGAGCAAGGATACTGAAATGAATCGGCCAGCTGCTGCTATATGTGTGTGGTGAGAGCTGTCTACTAGCCAAATTGGTACACAGTAATTTACGTCAATATTTACGTTCCCAAGATTAACTTTACGTGAGAAACAACCAATCGGAAGACTGTGTTTGTTTGTTTACATATCCATAGTAATGTACATGAAAACATATGTAAATATGCGTTGATTTGCTTAATAAATGATCTGTTGCCTGACTCTTGCCTTCTGCCGTTACATGTGTTCTCTAGGAAACCGACTGTGTGAACTGCTTGAACGACCTCAAGTTTTCTTCTGGTTCGCTTCAACTGTAAATGACGCTCATAACTGCTGAGTGGCCATGTACTCGACTAGGCCTGAACCTTTATTACATTGCCCGCCGATTCTTCAGCCTGACCCACTTAGTCTGGAGGCTAGGCTGTTCTTAGAACCACCCTAACTAGTGAAGACAGGATGGGACAATTATCGCGGGCTAAAGGTGTATTTATTAACTATAATATAAAGAGAGTATGAAGATACACAATCAGCCTACAATGCAGCCACTGCGGTTTCGTCCCCTGGAACTGAAACTGATCACCATGTTTCAATCCTCCAGCTACACGAATCAACTGCTGAAGGTTAGATTAAGTGGATGATCTTATTTGATCCCCTAAAGCTCAAACTACCAGGCAACACATGAGTTTTTTGCAAAATATTCGTTGCTAAGCTTCATGAACTCATATCCAGGTGCAGCCAATATCAGACTTTTATCTCATTTTTTGAACATCGAGTTACCACTCTACCAACTCATCAACCCAATTTTAGGAAAAATCGCGGATATTCAGGAAGTTGATGGTAAAATCATGGTATCTCTTGCTGTCACAGCATCGTGCACTACAAATGATTCAAAGGTAGAGAAAATCCACCACAGCTACTCTAAAGCGATGAACATACAAAAACGCAATGTTCAACTTGGAAGTCACAAAATTATACCTTACTACTTATATTCAATTCAATAATCAGACAAAACATAATAAAGGGACAACATAAGAGTCGCCCATATCAGGATTGATAGGTAAAGGCATTATACAAGGATAAGAATTAATAGCACCACTCATGACTAAACCAATAATCTAGGTACTTTAGGTTAATGAGACAGTCATATCAACTAAAAAAATGATTTTGAATGCACTCAAATATTGATCGATAACACACTCGAAAACATTAAGTTTTCAAGAGAAGAAGAATCAGAGAACAAAACTCTATCCCTAGATGCCGTGGTGAAGAGAACAAGCACAGGAAATTTAGAAACACAAGTATACGGAAAGTCAGCGCACACATCAAGTACTCAACTGTAGTGGCAATAACCCAGTGATTAGCAAAGCAAACTATTGGCAAACATTGTCTTAAAGATTTCGAACACACTGTAACAATCCAGTGTTGAAGAGAAGAGAAAAGAAACATCTACGAGCTGTCTTCAAGAATAGCGAATGCCCATACAACTGCAGCAATACATGTTCAACTCAAGTAGAAATGTTGGCAAGAAACCACTCTCAAATTCCACAAGAAAACTCGCTCTACTATTCATGGGTTATTCCTCTTAAATAACAACTAGATT